TAATATAAGGAAGTAAATTGTGTTCTTCAAATTTATTTTCAAAATCACACTTTATTGCAAGAAACCAATACATGTATATAATAATTTTGTAACTACTAAGCTTGTATTTAAGCCTGATTATGTCACTCAGTAAGAAAAACTGTTTTCTTTGTCTTGTATAAAATTGTATATTAAACTAGATTTTTATTCATATTGCTCTTTCTTATGGTTTTAATAGCTTAACTATTCAATAAATGTTAATAAAATTTCATGTTATGAATAACATTATAAAATAAAAGTACAGCCTTTATGTAAACTAAATCAACCAAGCCTACCATAAGTAAAATCACACTCCATTGTTTAAGTGAGTTTTTAACAAAAATTATTGTCTTCCTTACAAATTTTTAAAATTTATAAAAAGAAGAGAGAGATTAATTTTAAGACATGTAAGCTAAGCTTAACTACTTTTTGGCTATAAAGTAGTTATTAGTTTCTAAGTGGGAAAATTATTCTTGCCCTTGAAATATTCCCCATAATATCCTCATTAGCATCTTCATAGTAAAAATTATTGTAAGACTTTTAGCCCACTTGAATAGGTAAAAATGCCAAGAACACTTAAAGAAAGGAAAAGCTGAATTTTTCTCTGCCTATATGAATGACTTGATTAGAGTTTACCTTTGGAAGGAAGGAGAACGACACAAAAGTACACTACAAAGTTGATCAAAATAAACAACTATAAGAACCAGCATTCTTTACTGAATATTGACCATTATAATCTACAACTTACTGATAATATAAGCCATAGATTTAATAATTTTAATTTAGGATTTCTTTGAGACCTGAAAATTATTTCAAGAGTTCTTCTAGGGTAAGAAGATTGAGAAAGGCTTATCTCAAAGGTAATTAGCCTCCTTCATATCTTATGTTTCAATGAAAGTCTAGTTAGGAGTCAAAAACCACACCAATAATTTGAGCAGGAAAAAATTAATATAAGAATATATACTAAGAAGAGGTAGAGGTGTCCTTAAAAAAAAAAAGATTAATAAGTAGTAAAAGGTGGTTAAACAAAAGTGATAAATACAGGAAGTAGTTCCATCTATAAGGTTAAGGGAGCGAGTATCCATGGAGAAAACAAAGAATCTGGAAAAGTGTACCCATCACACAAGGCTAAGGTTTAGACCTTGTTTGAATGGGTGGTGCTACAATCCAGCCTGCTGGGCAATAGAAAAGTTTACTGGGGTCCTGATGGGCCAGGAAACTGAGGGCATGTCTGTTAACACACTATGCTAAGAACTGAAGTTCAGACCTTGGAATTGTCCTGCCCCCACTTGGAAAGATGGCTGAAAGCTGTAGTAACAGAGGAACAAGATTTCTTTCAGGGAAAGGGAAAAATTCTCCTTGTCCTTTGCTTAGCCTTACACATTAAAGGATTTTAAAAAATGCTGTTGCTATTCCACATTAGGACTAGGATGTGGTGTAGGTAAAATACAAATCTATCTTTTCCACTGCACACCAATTTTGTTTCTTTGCCAAAATCTTACCAATACTTCCTATGTTATAATTCAGCTTCAGCACAATCAAAAATACAAACTGCCAACTACCTCTCTGTGTCCATCCCTCTCTAAAAGAATACACACAATATAAAAATCTATTAAAAGATATAGTATCAAAGAACAAGGCAAGATGGCTGACTAGGGGCAGGTAACACATGCCTCTTCCTTGGAGAAAAACCAAAATATTGATTAGATACCCATACTTTGAATAGATCATCTGGGAAAGAATATGAGAATATAACAGAGAGGAAGCATGAGTAGGGCACCTCTCAATTCAAGGCAGGGAGGCTAGTGGCCTAGGGCAGCTTCAAGATCTGAATGCAGACTGCTTGAGACTGGCCTAGCTGATTTGTCCGGCTGCTGGCCAGACGCTGTGGATTCCAAGACTACCTACAGGCCCCAGGTTCTTTGGTACCTCTGCCAAAGGTAGAGTGGAGGTGCCTCTGCCTCTCCCTGGAAACTAAGCTTGCCCTAGTGGCCTTGGAACTGTCATCTGATCCCCTTTGGGGGTCAAACCCAAAGCTAGCAGAAGAAATAAAATAACAAAGATTAGAGAAGAACTAAACAAAATTGAGACCAAAAAAATAATACAAAGGATCAACAAAATGAACAGTGGGTTCTTTGAAAAGATAAATAAAATTGATAGACTGCTAGTTAGATTAACCAAGAATAAAAGAAAGGAGTTTCAAATAAGCTCAAACAGAAATGAAAAAGGAAACATTACAACTCATACCACAGAAATACAAAAGATCATTCAAGACTACTGTGAACATCCCTATGCCCACAAAGTAGAAAACCTAGAAGGAATGAATAAACTTTTGGAAACATACAACCTCCCAAGCTTTAATCAGGAAGAAATAGAAATTGTGACAGATCAATAATGAGCAGTGAATTGAATCAGTAATAAAATATCTCCAAACAACCAAAGGAAAAAAAAAAAAAAAGCCCTGGACCAGGACCAAATTAGTTCACAGCTGCTGAATTCTACCAGACATACAAAGAAGAACTGGTACCAATCTTACTGAAACTTTTCTAAAAGATTCATATGGAGGGAATCTTTCCTAATTTATTCTATGAAGCCAGCCAGCATCATCCTGATACCAAAATGAGGAAAGGATGTAACAAAAAAGAAAACTACAGACCAATATCCCTGATGAACATACATGCAAAAATCCTCAACAAAATACTAGCAAACCAAATCCAACAGCACATCAAAAAGATGATATACCATGATCAAGTGGGTTTGACTGCAGGGATACAAGAATGGTTCAACATACACAAGTCAGTAAATGTGATTCACCACATAAACAGAAATAAAAACAAAAACCATATGATCATTTCAATAGATGCAAAAAAAGCATTTAATAAAATCCAGCATCCCTTCATGATTAAAAACTCTCACAAACTAGGCACAGAAAGAACATATCTCAAAAGAATGAAAGCCACATATGACAAGCCCACAGCCCACATCATACTTAATGGGGAAAAGTTGAAAGCATTCTCCCTAAGAACTGGAACAAGACAAGAATGCCCATTTTCATCACTCTTATTCAACATATTACTAGAAGTCCTAGCCAGAGCAATCAGGCAAGAGAAAGAAATAAAACACATCCAAATTTGAAAGGAGGAAGTCAAATTATCTCTGTTTGCTGATGATATGATCTTATACCTAGAAAACTCTCAAGACTCCTCCAAAAGATGCCTTGTAGGGGACTGACATATATTTTCCTAATTTAAGAATTAAATTTAGTAATGTACGTGCTCTGCCCAGAGCATTTAAAAGTAATATGTTCCGTACAAGGCCTCTGTTGCCTTGAGGCATAATAAAAAACAAGGTGTTGCCCAGAGGCATAACAAAGGACCTGAGTTGCAAGTAAGCAAGAGCTACCCCGCCCCATGGCATCGGGGGTCTGGAGACCACACGATAAACACATTGTTCCTGTGATTGCTGCGTACACCCCATAAGATGGCTGGTTAGTCAATGACGGGTAAGACCCCTCAAGGGAGGGGAGACCTAAGCCAGGCACAGCCACTGGGGTTCAGCCAAAGATCTTAAGGGATCACCCTAAGAAAAGCTGGGGATGAGAAATGCCCCCTGTGACTTGCCTTGCCCATCCTTGCTAATCTCAGTCCATGATCTATGCCTAGCGCCTAGAGCAACCACCTGGAAACCTTGAGCCAGGGGATATCTGCTTCCCTAAGGCTACATATTCTGGAATTTATGGCCATTGCTGCAATGCCTGGGTGGTTACGTACAAGGAACTAACTTTAATTTTTTAGAGTATAAAAATAAAACTGACCCGGTGTATGATTACTCAAGTCAACCGTTTGTACATATGTCCACATTTCTCTTTGTGTTCTGCGTTTGTGTTTTGTGTTCTGTGTTCATCCTCCATCCTGTAAACGGGCCACAACAATGCCTTGATTTGAAATATGAATTCAGTAACATCTCAGGTTACAAAATCAACATACACAAATCAGTAGCATTTCTATATGCCAGTAAAAACCAAGCTGAGAACCAAATCAAGAACTTCATCCCATTTATAATAGCTGCAAAAAATCAATAAAATACCTAGGAATATATTTAACCAAGGATATAAAAGATCTCTACAAGGGGAACTATACAACACTGATGACAGAAACTACAGATGACACAAACAAATGGAAAAACATCCCATGCTTATGGATTGGAAGTCTCAATATTGCTAATATGCCCAAACTGCCCGAAGCAATCTATAGAGTCAATGCAAACCCTACCAAAATACTAACATCATTTTTTACAGAATTAGAAAAAACAATTCATATGGAAACAAAAAAGAACCCCAATAGCCAAAGCAATTCTAAGCTAACAAAACTGGAACCATCACATTACCGAGTTCAAATTATATTATTATACAAGGCTATAGTAACCAAAAAAGCATGATACTTGCATAAAAGTAGACACATTGACCCATGGAACAGAACAGAGAACCCAGAAATAAAGCCCATATACCTACAACAAACAGATCTTTGACAAAGCAGACAAAAACATACAATGGGGAAAGGATACTTTATTTAATAGATGGTACTGGGAAAATTGGATAGCCACATACACAAGAATGAAACCGGAGCCCTCTCTCTCACCATATACAAAAATTAGCTCAAGATGGATTATAGAACTTAAGTGTAAGACCTGAAACTTTAAAAACTGTAGAAGAAAACCTCTAGAAAACCTCTTCTAGACATTGGCCTATGCAAAGAATTTATGAGTAAGACCCCAAAAGCAAATGTAACAAAAATAAAGATAAACAAATAGGACTTAACTAAACTAAAAATCTCCTGCCCAGCAAAATAAAAATAATCAACGGAGTAAATACACAACCTACAGAATGGAAGAAAATATTTTCAAATTATGCCTCTGACAAAGGACTAATATGCAGAATCTATAAGGAATCCAAATTCTGCAAGAAAAAAATCAAATAACCCCATTAAAAAGTGTGCAGACGGTAACTGGGCTGAGGAGCTGTTTGCAGAGCGTCTGAAGATGAATGCCAGAGGACTTGGATCTCAGCTAAAGGACAGTATTCCAGTTACTGAACTTTCAGCAAGTGGACCTTTTGAAAGTCACGATCTTCTTCGGAAAGGTTTTTCCTGTGTGAAAAATGAACTTTTGCCTAGTCATCCTCTTGAATTATCAGAAAAAAATTTCCAGCTCAACCAAGATAAAATGAATTTTTCCACGCTGAGAAACATACAAGGTCTATTTGCTCCACTGAAATTACAGATGGAATTCAAGGCACTGTAGCAGGTTCAGCGTCTTCCATTTCTTCCGAGCTCAAACCTTTCACTGGATATTCTGAGGGGTAACGATGAGACTATTGGATTTGAGGATATTCTTAATGATCCATCACAAAGTGAAATAATGGGAGAACCACACTTGATGGTGGAATATAAACTCGGTTTAC